AGAAAATTGGACAATTATAAAAATGGTGGTCCATAAGATTTTTCAGTTACTATGACAACTCTTATTAAATCTCTGTGATTGTTAAGTGGTCTCAGAAACAGAATTGTCACTTCATGATGCTTTGATTGGTCCTCTTCTACAATGATACGTATGTATTCGTCAGCTTTTAGTGAGACTAAAAATTCGCAATACGAAAAACCCGACCAGGCAAGAATAAGCAGAAACACAAAATTCTAACACTAGGATCAAGATAAAACTCAGATTTAAGTAAACCTAAGCAATGGATTGGGTTGATATGGTGTCTTGTTTCCATCACAAATTACTTATTTCAGTTTAACTTTTAGCTTACTGTATCAACAGTGAACACAAGATACAGTTTATGCATATACATTTTAAGGTAATATAATGTAAACAGAGCATTATTATATAATTTTCTTTACATGTACATGTACACTGTATACTGATGACAAATGGTCATCCCACAAAACAAAACACTTTTCCTACATTTCTTAAAACAATTCCCCCAGTTTTTATAGAAGAATCTTTGTTGGAATTTTCCCTTGAAATAATAAGGCATGAGTCATATTAAATTATTTTATCATTATCAACTGGACCCACCGACCCAACCCTCCTGAAGAATTAAAATGGCTTCTTTCTTCAACTAAAGAAGCCATTGACAAGACGTCTGTCAGTTTTATCACAAGAGTCTTGTCCAGATTTATTTCAAGATTTCATCAGCTCTCTGTCAGCCTGCCCAGATTGTAAAAAAGACAAAGAAATTTTTCAATTAAATGGTGTGTCTTCAAAAATTAGTTTGGAGTTGTACTCCATTTATATGATGTGGAAAATGAAAATAATTGGCCTTAACATCTCGTCAACATAATACACAATTTAAGACTGACCTCCAGTACATGGACAAGAAATATTTATTTTCTATGGTTCAATTTATTGATTCCAAGAATCATTATTTATTTCGGGCACTGTCTTTTACACCTAGGCCTACTGCTCTTTTGTCAGACTTTTTAACAAGAGGCTTTCAATGTGTATATTTTTATATACATTTATCTTAGGGACCCATCAAGCGTAAATCAGACAGTGGGATTAAACTACATGGAAGTGAAGGCTGTATTAGAGGGTACACTTTGTGCATAAGCCCTCAAGTTATAGTTTATATTGTCATGTTCATTGTACATCTATCTACAGAATACAGGGAGAGCGATGTGGGTATGGGAGGAGGAGAATTTTGGGCAGCAAATTTGAAAAAGTTACAAGAATTCTTGCATGCTGAAAGGTTCTTAAGAGAATGAACAGAGAAAATCTTGTTCACTTGGGTTCTGGATTTAAACTTCCCCGGAAACTAACCCGATTGCCTGACAAAATAGATAAATCTCTAAGATATTTATAATTAATGAGCTATTTTACAGAAGTTAAAATCCCAATTAGCAGCTGACAATAGGATAACAGCTACAGTAATATTATTACCAATGTATTGATTTGATATCAACCAGTTGTTCCATTATTCATCATTACTCCCTCCTCTTATACTGACAATTGGAAAAGAATAGAATGAGGCTTAACTTCTCATCAACAAAAAATTTCAGTCATTTTATGACAACCATATCGTAATTTTTCTTTCTATGTTTATGCGTGCAATAGAAGAGGAATTTGCTCCGTTTCATATAGGGGCGTTTCTAACTTTAAACTATTCTGATCAAGTCAGCATATTGAAACACAATGATTGCAATGATTTTTATAAATGTTCAATACAGTGACAAGATAATAAATAATATGTTATTGACACACCATATTTTCTACAGTAATGACAATAAAGTTATAATATGTAAATACTAGAACCTGATGATAATCACTGACTCTTTTACTCTATCAATATTGACTGGAGGATAAATTACAGATTCATCTATAACAATATTATTAGTTTTATCTGATTAATAAACACAAGTACATATTATCAGAAATAAGATGAAATATAATGTCCTACTTGCATGTGTCTGTACCCACCGGTCTAACAAGACAACATGATGACATAATTCATCTAATCAATGAATTACATGTACATGTACATATACTATTCCAAGTACATGTACATGTACCCCAGAGAACTTTCTCTGTAAACATCAGGATCAAACTCCACCATACCTCCTAATTAGTGAGCCAGCACCTTACTCACTGAGCCCCCATGGCTCCCAAATCATGCCGGTATTCCAGCATTTACAGGCAGACATATAAATCAACAGTATTTGATCTTATTTTTCTAGTTTCAGTACATCTTGGCATTGTTCTTACCATCATAAATCTGGGTCTATATTCCAATATGTTCACTGATTATATAAACTATATTGGAATACCATTAAAATTTCTAGAATCAGTGAATTACGTTATGATGTATATTGTTTAACAATAAAATGTAAATGTATGCAATATGCATATAAATTATTTCAACTACATGTATCTGCTACATAATTGAAATAGAAATACCTTAATTTTATTCAATACAGTAAACCATTCAGATAATATACAACATCTACATATAGGTCTACTGTACATGCATCAATTATTTAAAATATGTGCTAAAATACCATCTTTAATTGAAACTGGGAATCCAGACAAAACATGGATAACTGATTAATCTAAATGTAGACAATTTTAAATAACCGTATACTGAGATGATATAATACAAATCTTGACCTTACATGTACATGTAGGACTCTCCAATTACTATATGTAGCCACATTATGATTATGTTGGTTATATATGTAATTTGTGTATTATGCAATAGATGTCATTTATTTCGTTTTAAAATCAATATGGTTTACCAATAGAGTTTTCAGACACATGAAGGCTGTGTTTACACACATTTACCAATAGTGTCGATCATCCTGACTACCAGAAACATACAAGTCAATTAGAGATGTATTTGTTGCATTAAAATTTGTATGATTGTTTCACAGTTCCTGACCATACATGTACATGAAGTAAAATATGATGTTAAAATAGTCACCATGATCTGATGCCTTCATATTATCTTTTTCAAATTAAAGCTCTTCGACAATGAAAAAATATTAAATTTAAAGCGGAATTAGGTAAGATTAGATAAAGCAAAGAGCTGGGAGTTCTTGCTATAATAGTTAAAAAATAGATAATGATGAGAGAATATGCTGAAAATTTCAGTTAACTCTTGTGCGGACACATCACATGAAAAACATTGTCGGCAACAAGGGGTAATCCAAGACCCCAGACATAAATTGGTTTTTGGATGCATAATTTTATTCAAATACGATCAAACTACAGCTTCATATAAAGACTGAATGATAATCAAAGTAAAAAAAAAAATATTTGAGGTACATGTATTAAGGGTGAACACATGAATTATCAGGTATTTTTGAAACCATAAAAATGTACAAATAACTTAATTTTCATTTCCATGTAGAATCGTCTTTTCACGGGATTAGTAGAGTACCTAGATTTTTTTTCAGATCTAGATTACTAGAATTACCAACACAATATCATCAGTAAGAAAGATTCCAAATACAAAGCTAGCAGTGAGCACAGAACAGATTGGACACTTATAACCAGCCAAATGTTTAAAGGCTCAATACCACTCTTGTTGTACATGTAACAAAATAATATGTCCCAATCTTTATTCTAGTCAATAAATTGTACTATTTTACAATATTCCATTTAATTGATGATACAAATTTCATCTTACACACCTAATTTAAAAAATTGGAAAAAATCAACTAAATGATTTGAAAAGTCTAATGTAAACCTTTTCAAATGTGACTTGGATTTAAACATATTTTCGAACCCTCTGGACAAGCAAAATAGGATGTAATGGATAATTTACACAACAGTTAGGACACATAAACATCTAATACTTAGAATAAGGTTATTATTTTTTTTCTGGAGCCGTCAAGCCAGCAAGAGTGTTATTGTCCCTTTAAAGGAAAAGGGAGGTCCACAAGACCTCTTGTTTTCGATAATCCAATACTCTTAATTTCTTGTCAAATGGTGAATGTTGCCACTGCCTCATTTCCATTCTATTTGCAGCATTATACATGTACCTGATGTTAAGGATACGGTTGTGAGGTCCCGAAATACACCTTGTATATGCACAAGGGTTAAATTACTTTACTCTGATGTATACATGTGGCCTAGCCTTGATTGTCATTACTACCGCTGTTACAATAACCTAGCCTCGATTGTCCATCTTTACGGTAACTTCTTCAACCACAAAATGTATTAAATCTACTTAAATAAATCATAGCCACCCAATAACTTCGAGAGATGATTATGGTCTTGGTAAGTTAATTAATGTCTAATTAATAATTTAGATAACATTTCAGGCCTAAAGAAAGACCTGCAATAGGCAGAATTAAAGTTTTCTTTTTACGATTTAATTCCAGAAAGTTTATACCCTAGGGCATGTTGACTCTCATCCTAATAATGAAGCCAGTCATATAATAACCCACCTTACTAATGAATGACTGTGACAGTCCAGTTAGGTCATATATTCTAATGATGATTAATGCTGAAAATTCATATATTACACAATAGTAAATGATTATTACATGTTAAATATTTCTGCATCATAATCAATATTCTACACATTCATGTCCTGTCATCTTAAAATATTCCTAACTTTTCATTTTGAGATTTAATTTTTAGGTGACCGAAATCAAAAAGGGGCACTCAAGGCGAATTTTCAAAAACCAGTGATCACAGAATAGGCAAAGTTTGAATTTGCTAAAAAAAAACAAAAAACACCCCCCCCCCCCCCTCCCACCAAAAAACATTTCATTTCAACAAACATGTATGTAGTAAACAATTCGGAAATGCTGTGGTCTACGGACATGTACATTTGTACAGTACATGTCTCAGAGGTTCTAGAAAAAAAAGCATACCCTGCCCAATGCCAGAAACTTGTCACTTCTTAATGTATAAGTAACTGAGGAATGTCAGTTGTATATATTTGTTCTTACCTTTAATCAATACAGGTGATAATTACTCCTTGTTAATCCTGTAATCTTGTCCACATTAATCCACTGTTTTATTGTCCACCAAATACTGTAAATGAATAAATATAAACCATTTAAAATAACAATACCATTTATACCATTACTAATAATGTTCCATTACAGTTTCGATAATCAGTTTTACATCAAAACCTGTGAATAAACCCAAAGTATAAGTATTTCATTCTAGCTGTGGTAAAAATATATGATCAAAATAACAGACAGTGCTGATTCCACAAACCAAACAATTCAACAGTGGGAAATACAATGCATGTAGGACGTCGAATGGCTGAAATCCTGATGTACAAACGTAATTACAAAAAAAAAATCAGTAGACAACGTTGAAGCTTGATTAGAAAATCGCCACTTAAAATTAAGTCTGGTAAAATATAAAATACAGAATATAAAATGCCAAAAGTGAAAATCGGATTTTAATCAAGTTGCATTCTTATGAGACTCAGTGGACACCGAAACAGTGGACACATGAATCAATGATTACCTTCTGTTAATCCATAAACAACACAACGGTTAGTCTATTTACTTGAGTGATGATTTTCCAATAAATGGCACATTTAACACCAACAATAATCCTTTAAGCTGCAATGTATTGATCCATACAGACAATCCATAAATAAACTAACGAATAAAAGAAAGTCAGACAAATTTTAAAGATTTCGATGTGATTATAAAATGTATTACAGCAGACAATAAATGGAAACTTAACTGTGACAACTTCTAATGTCTCAAAACCAAGAAAGTAAACAACAACACCCGCTTGGACAATCGTGACTCAATGTGAAGAAGAGTCAACATCGAATCACCATCCATATAAGGTTATTAAAATGAGTCCTCCCACTCCCCACATGACCAGTGCCAATTACTCTAACAGGATACCATTAAAGAACTGCAGGAACCAATATATGGTAGAAATAGCTATTCCTTTTAACTCCCTACTAAATATAGTCTGCTTCTTCTACATGTACATGTATACTGTCAACACAGCTTCAGAAGCATTTAACTAGCTCGCTTTAAACCAACCTTCACCATGTCCCTACAGAAACAATAGACATTGGTCGTATACTGACATGCCAATACAAAACAGCTCTCTTTATCCTGGCCACAAGTAAACAATAAAACAGCTATTCTTTCCTCCTCCCACCAATGGTCATAAAACTAATCAATCGAAAGATAGTTGACAGATATTAAGAGTAGAGATGAAAGAATGTGTTGCTAATGATTTGTATCAGAGACTGCCATTGGCTCTTTATGGTATTGACAGACAGCCGAATCTGTTTGTAAATGACTTTAGTGCAGTCAGGTACCTTAGAGTATTTGAATAATTATTTTCATTTCCTGCAATACTTCCAGGAAGCAGTCAAAAACATCACATTCCATCCTACATGTACATGTATCCTGCTAAGTGCAGTGGAATTGTCTGATATTGAATCATGATAAATAATTCAGTCTTTGAATGTGGAACCCTCAGAGGAATTGCTTAGAGATTTTACCATTGATATCTTTCATGATTCCTAAAAGAATTCCTGGATATAATTAATGGAAAAGAAAATGGTTGAACGATTTCTTTCAAATTGACAGAGAGATTACCAAGAGTTTTTGCTGAATAAAAAAAATTAAATCATGTAGTCTCCCCTGAAATAGATGTAAAGAGGCTTTATCTTCCACTTTCACAACAAATAAATGTTATTCATTTTGCAGATACAATGTAATGTGTGTATCATATTTAATAAACTTCCTTAAGGGTCAGATCGTTCACATTTACATTTATTTCACAAACATGTACAAGTCGTTGACCCAGTGCTACACATAAATTGTAATGCCAAATCAAAGCAGATTAGGGGTATGGGACAGTTCGTCCCAGGACAACTGTTACTCATCCCCAGACTATTCGTCACCGACATTCTATCGTAAAAATAAGCATTGTTGTCCAGAGACGAATAATCCTAGGGAACGAATAGTGTTAGGACGAATTGTCATCAGGGACAAGTGGTCTGGGGACAAGTGGTCCTGGGAAGAATCATAGATAAACTGGCTACATATTATTCATAATATTCTGTTGAATTCAGCATAGTTTTATACAAATAAACCCATCATTATTACCATTTTCCCATGATTATTTTACATAACCTCCTCCCTCATTATTACACCCCCTACCCTTCACTCCGATAACCTTCTTCCCTTGAGTATTATCTCCCACCATTACCCCCTGCCCCCTAGTTACACTCCTCAATGACTACATGTATTACATGTACTTTCCCACCAATTTAGTTTCAAATATATAAAAATTATTTGAAACAATAAGAGTACTATGGTTAGAACTACATGTACATGATGTAGTATAATGTTTACAGTTATTTTCAATTTTGACAGAAAAATGTCAAAGTTGAATTACCAGGCCTGTGAAATAATTGGGGGTCAGGATGAGATAATCTGAGCTGAATGACATAATTGTCATTGTTTCCCAGCCTATTAACATATTTCTCTGTCATGTTTCCATAAACAAAGTTTTGAAATTAAATTACATGTAAAGCACTCAATTTAAAGTGATATCGTCAACTAAATTCCATCCATAATATTTATTTAAACTTTTGTATCTTTTATTAATCATGGGTGGATACATGATTGTAAAGCACAACCTTGCAAAGTGTAGCAGTGGTGTAAAACATTTTTGAACCTTGTTTAGAAATTAATGGGGGGGGGGGGGCTAAAATACAGGGAACCATTATTCAATAATCAACTACTGTAGTGTGTATGGTTCTTTAGGAGTGGGAAAAAACTCATATCATTTATTGGCTGACGACAAAACTCAATCGACACCATGACAATGATCCCCTTACACCACCCCATCAACAGAGAAAAGACTGGTAAATACTGGCCAATAGATGTAATTAAACTAAAATATTGCAGCAGAGTTCCTATACATGTACATGTAATATATTTATTTAGCTAAATACAGTAATTAATGTCCGTCACCATATACCTACTGATTATTTTAATATATAATGTTTACCTGACATAAATGTTTAGTTGGTATGATGTGAAAAACATGTCTAAATCTTAGTGATTATTAAAGTAATTATTGCAAATTATCAATGTTCCTTGAGTCATTATTCTAGCTATAATTGAAGTTGACTTGTCACATTTGAATCTGTATTAAGCACTTGGGAATGTTAAACAACCCCACCTACATGTACATGTACTGTAAAAAAGTGAAATACATGTATGTTAGGGACAAACTGTTGGACTGTAATTTACCACAGATCATCAGTCTGATCCCATCTGGCCTAGGCTAATATAGGCCCTATTTCAAAATGTTCAGTATATTTGTAATCAGTGCTACATGTTTATAATTTAGATACATGTATGGTCATATGCATGTACCGGTAGTGTACACATATGATGTACCATCCCAAACTTAGGCTGCCTGTCTAGAGCTAGCTCCGCCTGAGAACAGGCCCTAAGCTAATTACCCGACATTTTAATTCCTACATCGACGATTTTAGTCGAAAACACCGAGTATGCTTTTAGTAATTTTAGAAGTATTTATTTCTCTTCTATTGTCATATTGAATGAAATTAAATATGTTTATTTAGCCGCTGTGTGTATGAAAGATGTCAAACTAATCAAAGCCAAATCACAAAATAGTCCTCTAATTATTCAATATGGGGGCACCCATAAAAGGTATTTCACAGAGGTGGTTTTGTTTGCAAAGACAAATTTAGGAATATCTAACCTTGTTTTGAAAGATAAACAGATTGAAACTCTAAAGACAGTTTACAATGGCAAAGAATGTATTGCAATATTACCCACTAGCACATATTATATATCGCTTTTACCGGATTGGCAGAAGTTGACATTTTGCTAAAGACATGTGTTTACATAAAACACATGCATGATTGGGTTATTTTTACTCTGTTGTGTACACAAAGCTGTAGTCCGGCCGATAAGTCCCGCCCCAAAATGATCACGTGAGCAGTTTTAAATGGCGGCTAACTGGGGCAGTGATCATAATGACATATGACGTAGATGGATCGCTGCGTGCAGTTTGATGATGTACATGTACTTACATGTGACAGAACTGAATAAAAGGAAAGAACAATCTTTAGCTGTTCCAGTGGGAGAAGGCCCCTTCCAAATCCTAGGCTAATTGAGCCACCAAACTTCTCATTTTGTCAATGACAATAAATACAATTTTTCAAAGTACATGCATAATAACTACATGTAACATGTAAATTTCAAAAATCAATACCTTTCTAAAAATTACGTACTATTTCATCTTGTAATATATACAAGTATGATTCATTCACTTAACAATTTTGTTTTCAAAATAAAGTCATTGTGTTTATTGGATTTGTACAGTCGTTCATCAGAGTATGCTATCATATATTATTGACATCTTTTATATTAAAATATAGATTATATGCATACTCCTTTAATGTATTCATACCCACGATCTTTATTCGACCCTAGGAAAAAATAAACCTTTTTTTTTTTCAATATTTCCATCATTTAACAAAAAAGCGTGAAATTTTCTATTACAGTTTGAAACATATGGTGCTGTTGATATTTGGTTATCATTGTTTGCATTTAAAATTTCGAAGAAACATCTTGCAACTTAATGCACAGCTTGTGGTGAAAAAGACCTTGTTAATGTAACATCTACATGTAAATGCATTTTTTATTTTTTTAATTTGATCTAAACTAAATTTTTAGCTACCCTTTTTGTTAACTATCCTACAGTTCTACGCCGACTGGGCAAATGAAGATTGAATTTGTATGGTAAGGTAAGGATATCGAGTTTAACAGAGTTCCCATGTCAGCCCCTGATAACAATAATAATTTAAGTTTGAAAAGTCCAAAGTAAAAAAAAATCTATCCTTTGTGGTATAAATTTATGATTCATAGCCAGATAATAGCCACAAAATTGTCAAGTTCTTGGTCGAAGGGAATAGAGCTCATGACTTCGAGACATACATGAAAATACTAGTCGATGAATCATTCAACTTCCCTTCATGAATAACACTTGATCCTGGTGTAAATGTAACTTTAATTTACATGTACCTTTACAAGTGAGTCCAAATTTGGAATAAGATATCTATAATTTATTTTTTATTTTAGTAATTTAATTCACAGTGGGGGTCTCATTTGTTTGATTCTGTTAATATACAATGTACATGTATCAGTGTAAAATATATGAGATCACTGTGATTCTAGTTTCTACATGCACATTTCAAAATAATTAAATAATTTGAGATGATGTTATTCTAGATACAATGTACCATATTCAACAATGTAGTTACATTTTTTTTTTCAAAATTGAATACTAATCGGTCCAGACTAATTCACAACATACATGTATCACCGAACAGTGATACTAAATTCTACTTCTTTTTCAAATTTTATTTTAAGGATATACAGAATTTATTTCTTAAAGTATATAGACAATATAGCTAATAGTAAGGTTATCATTTGGTCATTCTTTACTTTTAGTGTTAATATTTTGATTTAAAGTCTATAAAAAGTAATTGCCTAAAAGCATGATTGGCTTTGACTGTTTTATAATCTTTGGATGCCAGTAGGCTTATTAAGAGAAACCTTGAGCAAAGATTTATACAGTTAACAATG